TTGCTTGCAAATTGAGTCTTTCTGCGGCACAGCGGCAGCTGCGTGTCCCATTATCGATGCCAGTTGCCGCTGCTTCCGTCTTATCAGCTGCAGAGCTGCGGCACGCGGTTGTGTCTCTGACACGTCCTGATAAGCGATTCGTGTATTTACATTTCCATTCATTCGGCAAAATGTATTTTTGGTCATGTTACGCAAATACCGAGTGCAAAAAAAAAACAATTTGAGAAAAATTTGTTATTTGTTTACTGATCGATGATGTGAATGAAGCGAAGTGAAGTGAAGGTGAACTGTGATCGGTAGTTGGTTATCTTTTCAGTCATTGTTTGTGGTCTGGCCAAAAGCAATCACGTAATTGCCTGGGTAACTCCCATTTGTCAGTTTTTGTGTTGTGTTGGTCAACGTTTTGTGGGTTAAATGGTAATGTGACATTTAATATTATTTTTTTTTTGAGCACCTTGAAAGTAAATATAAATGCATAAACTTCGGCTTGAGTAGTATACAAAAGGAAAAAATTGCGGTCAGTTAGCCAGCGACTTGTATCTTTCTTTAGGTTTAAATTAAAGACTTTTTTATTGATGATCTTCACCGTTTCAGTAGGCTCTACAGAAGCCGTAGGCTTAATGATCGCTGATCAGCTGCTACTTCAACTTGTTTTCTTTTCCCTTCAAGCTGAGCTCGTGTTGTTAAGTATGATCAGCAAATGTTTACTGGGGTAATCTAGTTGTAGACTCCTATTGCAGTTCTTTTCTAATAATCTAAGTCTCGGGCTTAGCTAATGATCGCTGATCAGCGGCTACTTAAACTCGGTTTCTTTTCCATTATAGCTTAACTCGTGTTGATTAGAATAATCCGCAAATGATCACCAGGGGATTCTAGTTTTATACTCTTATTGCAATTGCTTATTAATGATCATTGGGCCTAGTAATAATCTGGGCTTTCCTAAGCCTAAGGCTCAGTTAACGATCACTAATCAGCTGCTACTTAAACTCGACTTCTTTCCCTGAAATGATCCTCAAATGATCACAAGGGGTTTCTACTTCTACACTCTTGTTGCACTTGTTTATTGATGAGCATTAGGCCTAGCAATGATCACTGATCTATAGGTACTTCAACTAAGACCTTAGTGAGCGTTGTGTCGGACTTTCCCGAAGTGATCAGTCAGGGAATTCCTAACTCGAATTTATTTTTGGCTTTCGTTTTAGTTTGTTTACTCATCATAACAGATCTAGGGGCATTTTTAGCTTTGTTTTAGATCAAGCTTAGTTTATTTTCTGTTTATTATTTTTGCCCGTTTAATTTAATCAAATTTTATTTCTTGATAAACGTAAATGTTGGAAATCAATGAAAGCTCTTTACTATGTGCTGATCGTCGATCGTTTTTTTATTGCTTAAACGTAACTTCTAAAGCGTTTATTGTTTTTAAAATGAGTTTTTAAATAGCCTAGCTTAGCTCTTCAGTAAATGCAATATGCATGTTCCTAGTCAAACCAGGCCATTAATCAAAGAGCCCGCAGATGCATGACTGTGCATTTGTGCTGGAAAGCTAAGTTTACATTTATTCAACGATTTTCTTGGCACAACAATAACAATTGTTAAATTTCTTTTTGTTTTTCCCCTGCCTAATGCAGGCATCACAAATAGCTTGCATACAATTAGTTACGTCCCACTTGTCAAAAAGCTGCCCAGCTGGTTGGTTTGATATTGCCCACGTTCTTTATAGCTTTGTGAACAGATGATCTTGTGCTGATCACTGATCGGTTAGCTCTTGTATATGGGAAATCAATTGGCTTCGATTTCGCAACGTCCTTTGTTGGGGGCTTAATTTAATTTGATCATGAAATAAACATGATCACTGATCAGTTAACCTTCATGAATTGCTCCACAAGTTGATTGGCTTGCTATGATTAGCTATTGCCAAATAATAACTCTAATTGGAATTGTCTCTATCATATATTTGATAGGTGATCTTCATTGATCAGTTTTACTTTTCATAGCAATGTTTCTTGTGTTATGTTTTCTTCCACTGATCAGTCGCGCTTCACACTTAGTTCCTCAAAATTGTTAAGTGATATTAATTGATCGGTAACGATTCCTTTTAATCTTATATTTGTTAATTATATGATAATATAATTGAGCTTAGCAACAAATATTCCAATTGGCAACATTTTATCATTAGTTTTATTACCGAAAATATATGTATATATATATATTTTAATTTATTTTTTGAGCCATTTTAGTAAATGTTTATTAACGATATATTTCTGCTGAATTCTTTTTTTTTTTTTGGTTAATCGAGTGCAAACTAATTGTATTCATATTTCATATTCGGCGATTACTCACGATTCAGGTTTTTGCTCAATTCGATCAGCTGGAGACTACATAATTAACCAGAGCACATTACCTTGTTGTTGTTTACCTGTTGCCTGTCGTCAGCCGCGTCATATTTCGTGTGCCCTAGCCTATTTTGAGCCCCTATTCATTCATAACAATCATTTTTCATAGCAATTGACGCTTTTGGGGCAATTCCCAATGAATAAACTGCGTGCAGTCGCAAAGTCGCGACTCATTCATTCACACGCTTATTCAAATTGCAGCAAAATAATTTACACCAAAGTCTAATTGTTATTAATTCATATACGTATAGCTCTTAACTTTATGGACATATAGACAAAGGCAAACAGTGCTGTCTGTAAATATTTGCACAACTGTTGCTACGAGTTGGGTTTGGTTTAAGTTTAACTGCGACTTGAGTTTGATTTTGCAGCACGTTTGGCTTTCGCGGCATTTGCAAAATCAAAATGTTACTTTACCTTTTGTTTATATATATATGTGTGTGTATTTGTGTGTATGCACGTGAGGCAAGCAGCAAGCTTGGAAAGTTTACAACATCGGCAACAAATCGCTTTGGTAATATAAATAATAGAAAACCAAATACAATTAGGGGTCTGTCCACATTTGTTTTTGGCGTCCACTGACTCGTCAAAATTCCAAGCGCGAATTTCATGGCTTGGTTATGCAAAAGACAACAAACAATAACAACAACTACCACAACAACAACAACAGCAACAGCAACATGTACAAGTAAAACAAAGTCGCGTCTTTTAACTAACAAAACAAATCACGTCAGCGCCTGGGCAAGTGAAATTTTTGGACTAAACTGAAAGCAAATCGAAAAAATCAACAAAGGAAAAGCAAGAAAATTGCTTAAACGACATGAAAATCAAACATTATCCGGGCAAAGCCGTCGACGCCAGCCTCTCGCTGGACAGCGACAGCGCCATGGGCGCCCTCTACGAGGCCAACTGGCTGCAGGCCCATCATCAGCATCATCGTGCGCCCACGTCTCAAGCGCCTCGATCTGCGCCAGCGCCGGCGAACAAGCTTAGCCGGCAGCCAAGCAATGCCGGCAGCAGCAGCAGCTTTCTGCTCGATGGCATCTCGGCGCTGAGCAAATATCAAATGACGCTGGAGAGCATCCGGCAGCTGGAGCAGCAGGCGCAGGATAAACGCATTGTGAGTGCCATCAAGGAGCTGAATGGCTACAGGCCCTCGGCGCTGCAGCATCATCAGCAGCAGCAGCTGCACAACGGCTGGGTGGCTGAGGATGAGGAGCACGAGCTGGAACTGGAGCAGCAGCAGCAGCGGGTGCCGGAGCAGGTGAACAACAAACTAAAAGCGACGCCCGCGCCGGCAGCGTCCGCTGTCAATCACTATGTGCTGGATCCGACGGAGCGTCAGCGCGTGCCACGCCCACGACAGCAGGTGTCCGTTAAGCCGCCCTCGCTGCGTCGCTCCCAAACGATGCTGCAGCATCCGCCGCCCAGTTATGTGACGCTGCGTGCACCCAAATCGAAGCCCCTGCCGCACAGCAGCAGTTCCTCCGCCTACTCCACATTCTCCTCGGCCGCTGAGGATCGGCAGCCGGAGCGTGTCATCTGCCAGCAGCCGTTACGCCTGATGCCACCGCCCACAGATCCACCGCCGGCACCACCCAGCACCACCTCCACAAAGCAGCGCGCCTTCAAGCCGCTCAGCAGATCGCATACGAGCGTCCAGCGTTATGCCACCATCCGCATGCCCAACCACTCCGCCTCCTTTTGCCGTGCCACAGCGCGAGCAGCGGAAATGCCAGCTGCGAGACGTCACAGCTTGGAGCAGGCGCTGCGGGGCTTACAACTGGATGCGGAGGTGGATTCGGTGGCGGAGGCGAACGCCACGGAGCCGGTGGTGGTCAGGCAGCCTGAGAAGCAGCAGCAACGTCATATCTCGCCCGCGGCCAGCAGCAATGGCAGCTCAAAGGATCTCAATGGCGAGGGCTTCAGCATACCACGGCCACGCCTCATTGTGCCTGTGCACACATATGCGCGACGACGTCGCACAGGGAATCTCAAGGAGCAGTCGACAACCGCTCCGGATGAGCATGTTGCCAGTGGTAAGGGGACAAAGGGTTACTCACAGGGCTGTCATCATCAAGGGATGATGGGAGACATGAGTATTGCATGGAGATACCAAATATCTAAATTTTCTATTCCAAAAACTAAGAGAAAGACCACTTTCTATTTAAATATATAATTGAAATGTACAAAAAGTGAAATAAGCACTCGCACATTAATTTAGGGTGGCCTCAGGTTAATGTTAAATTTAACACGCATTTATAATTCCCAAATGGTTCATGCAAGCAGTCCGTAGAAGGAAATACTTGGCGAAGGTCAGCGCAGAGCAAGAATCAATTCAGATCTTTTGTTATCCACCCAAGAACCCAAAAGTTCTTCGCCTCTTAAAAGTTGTTCAAGGCATCGTGTAGAATGCGGTTAATTGAGAGTTATTGAATAATTGAGCCGCTGTCTTTAATTTCCATGACAAATACATTTGTTTGCTTTCATAGTTTTCTTTTACTTTCCCATATTTCACCAACCAATTGTTTATTATTTCAATTCAGAACTCCTCTCCCATTTCAATTCCTGTTTAATCAATCGATCAACCGATTTTTATTACCGCAGATGGACGCGTGGAGGTCTCACGCGAGGGCAAATATCTCTCGACGCTCTCCGGCGCCAAGGTATTGGGCGAGCTGGCCATTTTGTACAATTGCCAGAGGACGGCGACAATCACCGCGATCAGCGAGTGCAATCTGTGGGCGATCGAGCGTCAATGCTTCCAGACGATCATGATGCGCACGGGCCTCATCCGCCAGGCGGAGTACACGGATTTCCTCAAGAGGTATGTACGCGGATTATGCTGCCCATGGATAAGGTGTTGTTTGGTTTTTTATGATTTCCTTGGCTGCAATTTCGAACAAATTTGTTGCGCATTTTTAATGAATCGCTGCGATTTGCTGCCGCATGCAATTAATGTGCATTTGCACTTAATTATATCAATTCCGCCAAGTCGTACTATTTTTTTTTATATTTGGCCATTACAAGTAAGTGGTAAAAAAATAAAAAATAACGCTTGGCTTAAGGATTTTTTTTTTGTGTGTCTGTGCTTGGTTGTTTTTTTGTTTTTGCGCAACTTTCTCTTCATCAAATGGGCAAACAGCATCAGACGACTTCGCTGTCGTCGTCATGGTCATGGGCGTCTCATATACGTCTATTACGATGACGTGCACTGCTCAAAATGGTCAGACAGTGGGACAGACGGGCCGGCGGGCGGGCGGGCAGAGGAACGGACGGACAACAACTGCGATCGTGCGGCCAACGAACGCATAGAAATGTTTTCTTTTCTTTGCCATCAAATGCACAAGTTGGCAACCAGTTTAAGGCCACAGCGCACCACCGACCGCAACCGCCGTTCCACACTGATCTCTGCCAGAGCTGGCGCCGTGAGTGACCGACAAATTAATCTCATTTTGCAGGGTACACAGCCGGCGCCTTCAAAAACTGTTCCCCCTCGTGTGTCCCCCCTTATGATATGACTGTCATTAAAAGAGCTCCATTCGAAATTTTGAAGCATGAAATTGCGCAAAAATGAAAATTAAGAAAAAAAACCCAAATGCATTACACCAAATGAAAATGAAAGTGCATTTCAGTGGAGGGCGTGTATTTAGATTGAGATTGTGGCGGAGATGGAGATTAAGCTCACGAGCTAAGTTAGGAAAGTCACAAGTTTGCACCGGAAAGGCAAAATCAAAAAGATAATGAGTCCAGTTTTTATGGAAAGCAACAAAATTACACAAATATTGTCGCGTATCTGTGGAATGATCCATGAGCTGAAATAATAATAGGAATTAAATTCCAAGTATGTGAAGCTCAACACTAATGTGCTATATAAATGGTATACATTGTCTTTGTTCCTGGTTAATTAAAAACGTATTCAATGGGCAATTTTCTAGCTCCTTGCCTTTCTAACTTTTGTAATAGATATTTTCTCGTATAATCCAAAGGGTTGAAGTAAATTCCATTTGCCGAAAGAACGAGTAGAAAACTCAGTTTACATTGATTCCCAGAGATTTGAGATTGAAATACATTAAGCGTTAGGCAAATCCTTCATAGGAATGAATCCCTTCTTCCCGCTGCATCTTCCATTAAAGAACTGGTGGAAAAAGATTGCCCCTTTGTTAGGTGCTTGGTTGTGATATAGTTCTTCCTGCTGTTAAATACAGAAAAGTGGTTCCTATTTTCTTGTCCAAATGTTGTCTCGACAAAAGCCCTCCTACTTAAAATGCCTAAAACAAGAAGGACACTACCCTCGGCATATGTAAGGAGCAAGGTATAAATTATATATCCACAAATATATATACTTTTTGAGGTCGGAGATGTCTTGTTCTATACGTTACAAGTTCCATGACAAAATTGTAATACCCTCAACGAGGCTATTAAGAACAACTTTTACTCCAATACAATGCCACATCTCACCTCGATACTTAATTTGCCCTATATTTGCAGCGTGCCCATTTTCAAGGATTTGCCAGAGGATACCCTGATCAAAATCTCCGATGTGCTTGAGGAGACGCACTATCAGCGAGGTGATTACATTGTGCGCCAGGGGGCACGCGGTGATACCTTCTTCATCATCTCCAAGGGCAAGGTGCGTGTGACGATCAAGCAGCCGGATACACAGGAGGAGAAATTCATACGCATGTTGGGCAAGGGTGATTTCTTTGGAGAGAAGGCGCTTCAAGGGTAAGTGAAGGAAAGGAAACCTTGGGTAAACTCTTGCATTGATAAACTCCTTGCTTTCCAGGGATGATCTGCGCACGGCCAACATCATTTGTGAGTCTCCCGAAGGCGTGAGCTGTTTGGTCATTGATCGTGAGACGTTCAATCAGCTGATATCAAGTCTGGACGAGATCAAGCATCGCTATGACGACGAGGGTGCCATGGAGCGTAGAAAGTAAGCTTTGGTTGGGAGTAAAACTCTTGCAGATCTTTAGTCTAACCTCTCTATTTGCTGTTTTCCGTCAGGATCAACGAGGAGTTCCGCGACATTAACCTCACAGATCTGCGTGTGATTGCCACATTGGGTGTGGGAGGCTTTGGGCGCGTGGAACTAGTGCAAACCAATGGCGACAGCTCGCGCTCCTTTGCCCTCAAGCAGATGAAGAAGTCACAGATTGTGGAGACGCGTCAGCAGCAGCACATCATGTCCGAGAAGGAGATCATGGGCGAGGCCAATTGCCAGTTCATTGTCAAGCTGTTTAAGACCTTCAAGGACAAAAAGTATCTGTACATGCTGATGGAGAGCTGCCTGGGCGGTGAGCTCTGGACCATATTGCGTGACAAGGGCAACTTTGATGATGCCACCACCAGATTCTACACGGCCTGTGTGGTGGAAGCCTTTGACTATTTGCACTCGCGCAACATTATCTACAGGGATCTGAAGCCAGAGAATCTGCTGCTCGACGAGAAGGGCTACGTGAAGCTGGTGGACTTTGGCTTTGCCAAGAAACTGCAGACGGGCCGTAAAACGTGGACTTTCTGTGGCACGCCCGAGTATGTGGCGCCCGAGGTGATATTGAATCGTGGCCATGACATAAGCGCTGATTACTGGTCGCTCGGCGTGCTCATGTTTGAGCTGCTCACGGGTGAGTCGATAGAGAGAGAGCGAGAGAAAGAAGGAGAAATTTATATTATATCTTAATTTATCACAGGAACTCCACCTTTTACGGGCTCGGATCCGATGCGCACTTATAATATAATACTTAAGGGCATTGATGCCATCGAATTTCCGCGTAACATAACACGCAATGCCAGCAACTTGATCAAGAAACTGTGTCGCGATAATCCCGCCGAGCGTTTGGGCTATCAACGCGGCGGCATTAGCGAAATACAGAAACACAAGTGAGTGGAATCTCTCCTCAGTCCTCAGTCAGGCATTAATTCCACGCTTATTTTATATTTTAGATGGTTCGATGGCTTCTATTGGTGGGGTCTGCAGAATCGTTCACTGGAACCGCCCATAAAGCCCAACGTGAAGAGCGTTGTGGACACGACCAATTTTGATGACTATCCGCCCGATCCGGAGGGACCGCCACCAGATGATGTCAGCGGTTGGGACAAGGATTTCTAGTGTAGAATTGACGTATGGGAATTTTTTGACGCTGCTCTCTAGCGACTTTTGTCGCGCAGCTGCTGCAACTTGAGACAGATAATGATAATCGATCTAACGGATCTTAACTAGTGCGCCATTTGTACGCCAAAGCAATAGTCAGGGTCAGACTTTAGGACGAAAGCTGATCCCCCAAGTAGCAGTCGCAACGCCTAGGGTCCTCATACAAACAGATCATGTCGCGACCAGAAAAGGAAAAAATCAAACAAACAAACACACCCAGCCACACACCCGCACACACACCCATGAAAACGGCTCATGCATGTTCAGAGATCTGATTATCATCATAAAACATTGTGCAACACTATGAATTTATTAACGAGTTTATAAACTATTATTATGTAAAGATTGTGAAATCTATATTTTCTAGTTCATTGGATGTCGATAGAAATTGTAAGTAGGTTCCTGTGTCCTGGCATTCATCTGTTCCGGCCATGTGCATTGTGTAAATTGTTTTCTCTCTCTATCTATATAAAATTAAAATTATAATTGTTAAATGTACCAAGTGCAAACACACACACACACACACACACATATATACATACAAATCGGGTTGCCTTATAGCCTGTAAGCAGATTTTATACAATTATATGACCAAGACCCTCATGCTCATAACATATTTCTTCTTCCTCTTCTTTTTCTTCTTCATTTATCTATTATTTTAATGTTTCTGAGCAATCGTGGATCTACATGCTAATTATTCTTCCAATCATTAGCCTTAAACATCATCATATTCTATATAAAAATGAGCTAAATAACGTCTTTTTCAATTGTCTTTTTTAAGTAAACTGAGCTAGAAATTAAATAAATAACAAATTTATGCGCCTAACTTAATGGAATTTAATTACTTAGTTGAAAAATGGACATGCAAAATGTAAGAATCATGAATATCTGGTTACAAATAATTATTTGTTTTCTCTAGAGTTATCTAACGTTTCTTTGATTAAAAAAACGGTATTCAAATAATAGAAAAGGATATATCTCTATATATAAAACTGTTTTTTCTGGAAACTGAATTTGTTACTGTAATTATCCTTTGTGGTAAAGGAGAAAGGGTTTTAGAAGATATTCCGATGGCAAGTATAGAAAAGTGCGAAAATTTGCCACTCTTTTTAATTCCAAATTAACTTTCATATAATTGTGTATGTATGCATGTATGTATGTATGTATGTATGTATACATACATGTGTGTGTGTATACATGTGTGCATGTATACATGTGTATGTATGTATGTATGCATGCATGTAAGTATGTGTTGATATGTATGTAGAATGTCTGTGTATATGTATGTATGTTTGTATGCATGTAGGAGTTATGCATGTACGTGTGTATGTATGCAGGTGTCTATGTATGTATGTATGAATGTAAGTATATATTTATGATTGTGTGTGTAAATATGTATGTATGCATTGAAGGATATGTGTGTATGTATATTTCGATGTAAATATGTATGTATGCATGTAGGTGTGTGTGTGTATGTATGAGTGTGTATGTATGTATGTACGCATGTATGTATGTACGTACGTGCGTATGTGCATCTATGTGTATGTATGTAAATATGTACGTAACTAAAGTTGTTTGTGTTTATGTATGTGTGTATTAATGCTGGTTGTGAAGATGTGCGTACGTATATTTGTATTATGAATGCAAATATGTATGCGTGCATGTAATTATGTTTGTATAAATGTCTGTATGTATATAAAAATGTATGTTTGCATGTTTGTATGCATGTGTGTATGCATGTTTATATGTATGTATATATTTGTATGCATTATGTATGTAAATGAATGTATGCATATATGTTGTATGTTTGTATTCAAGACCTAGCTGCACTGCAAATTAAAAAAAAAACGTATTCTACGTAAGTCCCCTCTACTCGATTCTCATAAACTCAAGTAAGCCTCATGGGAGACGGCGACTTCAACTATGCAGGAGGCGGCTTCAACTGAGCAGGAGGCGGCTTCAACTATGCATGAGGCGGCTTCAACTATGCAGCAGACGGCGACTTCAACTATTCAGGAGGCGACTTCAACTATGCAGGAGGCGGCTTCAACTGAGCAGGAGGCGGCTACTTCACCCATGCAGGAGGAGGCGGCTTCAGCGATGGAGGATGCGGCGACTTTAATATTGAAGGAAACGGCGGCTTCAAATATAGATGATACTGAAACTTCAGAAATAGAGGAGGCGCGGTCTTACGTATTTAAGGAGACGATATGAAATATAGAATGGCGACTTCAATGAAGAAGGCGGCTGCTCAACTATAGAGGATATGGAGGGTTCAGCAATAGAGGAAGCGGCGGCTTTAATATTGGAGGATGTGGCGGCTGCAACTATGAAGAAGCTGGCAGCATAAGCAAAAGCGGAGACGGCGGTCTAAGAAGGAAGCGATGGCTGTGATGGAGGAGGCGGCATCAGTTTTTAATGTGATTATTCAAAAAACTGGTAAGTAATGTTAACAAATATATGTATAATAACTATGCCTTATTATATTTACAACTAATACAGTCGTATGCATGCAGGTTGTTTTATACATTGTCACATTAACATAATCTCTGCTTTTCTGTTCTTTCAGCGTGTTTATAAAAAATGTCGTCCTTCGCCTACTGATAGATGAGGGTAATAAGCACAATGGTGCAGGTAAGTACGTAATTACAAATATATATTTATATCTATACATAACTGTTTGATGGGTGATCAGTGCATATCCCAAACGATAAGAGCTTGTTAGCTTATGTGATGGAAAATTTCTTTCGCAATTAATTTAATATAAGTTAATATATAAGTGCTAATTTCACAAGAGAAGATGTAAATCTTATTAGATTGAAATAATATTGTTTTAAGTTTTGATATAATTACCAGATTTAGACGCCAAAATTATCTAAAGGCCAGGCCATGAACAAAGAGCCAAACTTTATCAAAATAGGATGAGATTTGATCGAGATATGGGGGCGGGAAGTTTTGACCTACGTCCATATAGGATATTTGAGGGTACCACTTTGACATGAAATTTGACCAAAAATAATGTTTCCAGATTTGGATGCAGAGTTGATAATGAGTCAAAATCATGAACAAAAAGCGAAACCTTATGAAAATCGGAGGATTTTTGACCAAGTTATGGGTGTGGGAAATTTTGAGCTATGTCTATATAGGATGAGGGTACCACTTTGACTTGAATTTTGACCAAAAATAATGTTGCCAGATTTGGATGCAGAATTAATAATGAGTCCAAATCATGAACAAAAGCGAAACCTTATAAAAATCGGATGATATTTGACCAAGTTATGGGTGTGGGAAGTTTTGACCTATGTCTATATAGGATATTTGAGGGTACCACTTTGACATGAATTTTGACCAAAAATAATGTTGCCAGATTTGGATGCAGAATTGATAATGAGTCCAAATCATGAACAAAAAGCGAAACCTTATAAAAATCGGATGATATTTGACCAAGTTATGGGTGTGGGAAGTTTTGACCTATGTCTATATAGGATATTTGAGGGTACCACTTTGACATGAATTTTGACCAAAAATAATGTTGCCAGATTTGGATGCAGAATTAATAATGAGTCCAAATCATGAACAAAAAGCCAAACCTTATGAAAATCGGATGATATTTGACCAAGTTATGGGTGTGGGAAGTTTTGACCTATGTCTATATAGGATATTTGAGGGTACCACTTTGACATGAAATTTGACCAAAAATAATGTTTCCAGATTTGGATGCAGAATTGATAATGAGTCCAAATCATGAACAAAAAGCGAAACCTTATGAAAATCGGATGATATTTGACCAAGTTATGGGTGTGGGAAGTTTTGACCTATGTCTATATAGGATATTTGAGGGTACCACTTTGACTTGAATTTTGACCAAAAATAATGTTGCCAGATTTGGATGCAGAATTGATAATGAGTACAAAACATGAACAAAAAGCCAAACCTTATGAAAATCGGAGGATTTTTGACCAAGTTATGGGTGTGGGAAGTTTTGACCTATGTCTATATAGAATATTTGAGGGTACCATTTTGACATGAATTTTGACCAAAAATAATGTTGCCAGATTTGGATGCAGAATTGATAATGAGTCCAAATCATGAACAAAAAGCGAAACCTTATGAAAATCGGATGATATTTGACCAAGTTATGGGTGTGGGAAGTTTTGACCTATGTCTATATAGGATATTTGAGGGTACCACTTTGACATGAATTTTGACCAAAAATAATGTTGCCAGATTTGGATGCAGAATTGATAATGAGTCCAAATCATGAACAAAAAGCGAAACCTTATGAAAATCGGATGATATTTGACCAAGTTATGGGTGTGGGAAGTTTTGACCTATGTCTATATAGGATATTTGAGGGTACCACTTTGACATGAATTTTGACCAAAAATAATGTTGCCAGATTTGGATGCAGAATTGATAATGAGTACAAAACATGAACAAAAAGCGAAACCTTATGAAAATCGGATGATATTTGACCAAGTTATGGGTGTGGGAAGTTTTGACCTATGTCTATATAGGATATTTGAGGGTACCACTTTGACATGAATTTTGACCAAAAATAATGTTGCCAGATTTGGATGCAGAATTGATAATGAGTACAAAACATGAACAAAAAGCCAAACCTTATGAAAATCGGAGGATTTTTGACCAAGTTATGGGTGTGGGAAGTTTTGACCTATGTCTATATAGGATATTTGAGGGTACCACTTTGACATGAAATTTGACCAAAAATAATGTTTCCAGATTTGGATGCAGAGTTGATAATGAGTCAAAATCATGAACAAAAAGCGAAACCTTATGAAAATCGGAGGATTTTTGACTAGGTTATGGGTGTGGGAAATTTTGAGCTATGTCTATATAGGATATTTGAGGGTACCACTTTGACATGAATTTTGACCAAAAATAATGTTGCCAGATTTGGATGCAGAATTGATAATGAGTCCAAATCATGAACAAAAAGCGAAACCTTATGAAAATCGGATGATATTTGACCAAGTTATGGGTGTGGGAAGTTTTGACCTATGTCTATATAGATATGGATGCAGAATTAATAATGAGTCCAAATCATGAACAAAAAGCGAAACCTTATGAAAATCGGATGATATTTGACCAAGTTGTGGGTGTGGGAAGTTTTGACCTATGTCTATATAGAATATTTGAGGGTACCATTTTGACATGAATTTTGACCAAAAATAATGTTGCCAGATTTGGATGCAGAATTGATAATGAGTCCAAATCATGAACAAAAAGCGAAACCTTATGAAAATCGGATGATATTTGACCAAGTTATGGGTGTGGGAAGTTTTGACCTATGTCTATATAGGATATTTGAGGGTACCACTTTGACATGAATTTTGACCAAAAATAATGTTGCCAGATTTGGATGCAGAATTGATAATGAGTACAAAACATGAACAAAAAGCCAAACCTTATGAAAATCGGAGGATTTTTGACCAAGTTATGGGTGTGGGAAGTTTTGACCTATGTCTATATAGGATATTTGAGGGTACCACTTTGACATGAATTTTGACCAAAAATAATGTTGCCAGATTTGGATGCAGAATTGATAATGAGTACAAAACATGAACAAAAAGCCAAACCTTATGAAAATCGGAGGATTTTTGACCAAGTTATGGGTGTGGGAAGTTTTGACCTATGTCTATATAGAATATTTGAGGGTACCATTTTGACATGAATTTTGACCAAAAATAATGTTGCCAGATTTGGATGCAGAATTGATAATGAGTCAAAATCATGAACAAAAAGCGAAACCTTATGAAAATCGGAGGATTTTTGACTAGGTTATGGGTGTGGGAAATTTTGAGCTATGTCTATATAGGATATTTGAGGGTACCACTTTGACATGAATTTTGACCAAAAATAATGTTGCCAGATTTGGATGCAGAATTGATAA